TGCCTTTCTGTGATCCTAGTCCCAATTTCCAAGCAGCATTTTTTTAAGCTGGTTATGTAGATCAGTCCTTAAAGCAAAAAAATAGCAATTTATCTGGCCTGCATGTTGTGGATAGTGTTGCCACTAAAAAGAATCCAGGACATTTTTCCTTCTTATCTGCAATGTAGCTCATATCAGCCAACCTGTCACAAGATAGTACTTGATATAAACAAGAGATTGCAAAGACATCTCAGTAATCAATATCAGGATGGCTACAGTATGGAAACCCCAACCAGTGCATATCATTTGTCTCAGCATCTATTTCTATGGCCAAATGAAGCATTAATTCAAATCATAAATCTATGGTGATTTAAATCTGGGAATGAGCACCTGCCTGCTTTAATGATTTATTTTGTACATTTCAGTAAGCAGGAGATTTGTCCATATGAACTGACAGGTCACCTTCAGATGCCAGGAGCAGACTGTTTATCACCATGCAGACTAGCATCTCATCTTAGCAAGTAAATATTAAACTAAAAGAATCCAATTGATTGTGGATGAGGGAGAATGGCGACATGGCCATATATTTTACTCAGCATGCTGATGCCTCACTCAGATGTATCGTGAAGTTCTCGGTTCTTCCTAAAGTGATCACTCTGTTGGAAAGATGTGAGCTCAAGGTTACCAGGTAAAATTGGAATATACAATAATTATTTGTCAGTGTCAAAGGTTTCTTTAAACACTTTTTTTGGCTAATTTTTATGATTCATAATAAGAACTGGAAAGGGCCATCTACAATAAAAATACCCCTTCACCCCGGCCAGCCAAAATCAAACCAAACCAAGCAAAAATAAAGTCTATTTTCTCAAGCAATAAGGATTTATTTACAACCAAGAAAAACAAACAAACAAATAAATAAAAAAAACAGTGTTCCTACAAAGGAAAATCTGAAATGCTCAACAAAACATGTGAGCCAGACAAGTACAAGAAAAAAGAACCCTGAAAAGACTTCAGAATTGTCACTGGATTTGGGTAGAGCTAAGTAGCAACAATACATCATTTAAGTAGCATCTCTCTGAGGGGTTTCACTACTTCAAAGAACCAATTGATAGATTCATGAGAGCACTAAGTTTGTGTTCTGAAATATAGGCCCTTGAGAGAGTCTTGGGATTCCTCCTGGAGTTCTTATGCCTCAACATCACTTCCTGAGCAGCTCCTGCTCACTTCTGCTCCTCAAGGAGAAGGCCCATCCTGCTATGACTGCCTGCAGCACGGGCTGTCCTGCCCTTGGACTGCGTGCCGGTTGAGTACTAGGACTGCCATATGATTCATCTCGTTTCCTAGAATGAGCTAAAACCAAACGTACAAAAAAATTCAAGTGACACTAATAGCTACCCCCAAATTTCCTCACAGGCTGGCAGCTTAACAAATAATACCCAGAAGGGAAAAGAGGAAAACAGAGGTGAAAGCAATTAAATTCTGTAAAAAGAGGACAGAGTTAATTTTCAGGAGGGCAAATTGGGAGAAATAATAATAATAGCAAAAGCAATATCAAAATGACCAACCAGGCCCTGGCTGGTGTGTTTCAGTGGACTGAGTGCCAGCCTGCAAACCAAAGGGTCACTGGTTTGATTCCCAGTAAGGGCACATGCCAGGGTTGTGAACCAGGTCCCCAGATGGGGGTGTGTGAGAGGCAACCACAGACTGATGTTTCTCTCCCTCTGTTTCTCCCTCCCTTCCCCTCTCTCTAAAAATAAATAAATAAAATCTTAAAACAAAAAACAAAAAACGACCAACCAATCTTATTGGTGACCAAAAAGGTGGTAAGCAGGCATTATAATAAAGTGATAAACACTTGACAAATATGATCTCCTTGAATTATTACGATGTAGATACGATTCTTTATGACATTTTCCAGATTTGAAACGTTAGGCTCAAAATGTTTGATAACTTTGCAAGGTCACAGAGCAAGTAATTACTGAACGTTTACCAAGAGGCAAGCACTGTTCTCAGAATCAGAGAAGACTAGGGCCATATAAAGCAACTGCTAATTCAGCAACTGCTTTGATCTATACAAGCTCAATCCCCACTCCTACCATTGTGTTGTACTCTCTCTACCTTCCCCTTCTGCAAAACTCTCTTTTTCTCATCTCTAGATGAGAAACAGTAGCAATAATACTAACATTATAACAACCCCAAAATATTAAGCCCCTCTAAGAAAATTCAAATAAATTTCTGCTCCTGCTTCAAATTGGTATTGGGACCATAAATTCAACTAAAAAAAGAATAAAATATACAAAAAATGATATAAACTACCAACTACATACTTTAATGAAGGAAAGGTAACTACCTTTTCCAAGTAAAACACAAAAGAAAATCCAAATCATTCTTGTTTTAAGTATTATGATAGCCAATGTATTCAAATAATTAGGATAAACTATTATTTGGCCCATAAGCAAATATTATTTTATGTCAATGCTCAATCATGAGCCATAGTCTCTTTTTGTTTCTCCAAAGACAACTGCTGCTCTGCTGCTCAGAAATTTGAACAGAATTATAATGTTTTAATATATTTTGCTTTAAATGTTATTAACTTGCATATTTTGTTTACCCTTCCTCTCAATATCAACTATTAAGAACAGTCCGCATTAAAGTCTTACTCTTCTAAAAATTTAAAAACAATCCAGGTTATGTTTTAAAATAATAATTGAAATTTATAATGGCCAATTATTTATATTTAGAAGGGCCTAATTTTTTGGCCCTGGCCAGGTAGCTCAGTTGGTCAGAGCGTTGTCCCAATATGAAAAAGTTGAGGGTTTGACCCCTGTTCAGGGAACATACAAGAATCAACCAATGAGTGCATAAATAAGTGGAACAACAAATTGATTCTCTCTCTCTCTCAAATAAAAATCAATTAATAAAAAATTCAATTAAATAAAGTGTTTAATCTTGCTCTCTATTTTATAAGCTAAAGTCAGGACTTTTTATTTTTAAAAATATGTAATTAATAGTTCCCAAAAAAAGAATTATAATTCATTTTACTTCAGTCATTTCTTAACTTTTAAAAAATATTTTATTTATTTATTTTTAGAGAGAAGGGAAAGGAGGGAGAAGGAAAGAGAGAGAAACACCGATGTACAAGAGAAATATTAATCGGTTGCCCTTTGCCTGTCCCACAACTGGAGACTGGGCCGCGACCTAGCCATGAGCCCAGACCAGGAACCAAACTGGTGACCTTTCATTTTGCAGGACAACATGCAACCAACTGAGCCACACTGGTCAGGACGTTATTTTTAACTTTTCTTTCAAAAAGATATTTATTTTTAAAAGTATCACAGTCAAATTGACTTCTTGGACACGGATGATATAGTTTTATGAATTTTAACCCTTTTGTCACATAGACACCTCCGCATTCAGGACACATAAATATGCTTTAACTCCAGAAAATTTCCCTTAACAATTACACTCACCCCTCCCTTCTTGCAACTACTGCCCTGATCTACATCCCTACGTGTTTGCCTTTTCTAAAACACCAGATAGATAAAATCATATATGCCTTTTTATGTTGACTTATTTCACCCAATTTAAAACCTGTCCATGTTTGTTTGTTTCATTTTTCAGAAAACCCCCTTTCTCCCATATACCTGAGTTGAGCAGTAACACCTTTTGGATGATCACACAGTCACTATATGGTTTTAACTCTGAAAAGTCTAAATTTATGCATGTAAATAATGATCTACACAAACTGCTGCCTTCTGCCTTCTCACTGGAAACACCACAATTGCAGGCACTGATGTTTCCCTTAGTCTCTTTCAGTTCTAAAGCCATGGCTTTTGACTCTCGACCATTTCTATTCACTCTCAGAACCGCCATCACCTTCTTTCTAACTTGCTCTCAACTCAAACCCACTACCGCCACACATTTTCTATTTCCCCCATGTGGTTCCACTGAAAAGTTCTATTTTCCCTCTTTTTACATAAGAAGATATTCTTTGGCATCACTGAAGCAGTGGTATTTTGTGTTTTGTATATGTATTTCAAAATTACTTCCTACTGGAACATTCACATCTGGCGTATGGTTCCATGGAACTCCTGCAAGAATGATTATTATTGAAATCCATAGTACTCCTCCATATGTCCTTAACTACATGCCAGTGGACTGAAAGCAGAGAGCTGATTACCTAAAGAAATAATCTGTTAAAATGATGCATGGAAAGGAAAGCTTAATTGAACTTCCATGAATTATTGTGCTCTCTATGAACATATGTTGGATATAGTATCTTACATCTTGTAGTATCCAAATTTCTTGTGTTAAATTATATTTTGAACATGGCTTCTACATTTCAAAGGGAAACAACACAATGCAGTGGCAGAAAAAAATGTTATGTCTCACCAACACATAAAGGCTAAAGATATCAATAAAAAAATTAACCCACATTTGAAGGTGTGTTTGACAAAACAAATTACACAGATGAATTCTGCAATGTACAAACTGTTCCCCTGGCTTAAATTGTGACCATAAAGTTTTATACATATCTCAAGAAAAAATATAAAGAGAAATTAAAGTTGTATGTTTAATATGAGGAAAGTGGGAAAGGACTGTATATAGACAGAATTAATTACCATATATATTTTGTTGTTAATGCAAAACTCTTATTTAATAACAAATATATTAAGAATAAAAAAGATAGTGTGTTTTTGTTTGTAAATATTCTTCTACCACCTTACTCATAAACAATATTTTAGAATACTGATTATTAAAACTTATTTGTATTATGAAAGATGTTAACTCTATGCTTACAGAAGTTGCAGACATAAAGTTGATCCTATAATAAAAAATAATGATGCTAATCATTTATTTAGACTGCGTTATTAGATGCTAAATGGTATCTTCAAAATACCCACTGTTTCAAAGCTACAAGTACGGACTTCTTGAATGGGTAACCAAGAGTTTTGTTCTGGAAAAGAACATAATGTGGTAGCAAAATGATCACAATAAGTTTCAGTGAATATAAAACTTACCAACACTTGAATTCATGTCCCCATTTTCAGAATCTGCTCCATGTTGGTTATTACTGGCATGATAGTTGCTCATAGCTTCTAATTTGATTTTTTTCACCTTCATTGCTTCGGCAATAGCTGCATTGGTAGCAGCGGCAGCTGCTGCAGCTGCTGCTGTCAGACCTTAAAAGAATAAATTAAAAATGAGGTAATTCAAAATCTGATTCTTCATATAATAGTTCGTGTACTTTATATAACACACACAAACATATTAAAGTATCTGATTCTTTTACGCAATATTCGGGCACATATATTCATTCCCAACTAGCCCCTCCCTAAAAAAAAACAAACCCTGATACAATAAAGGGGAAACTCTCTAATCTCCCAAATTAAATATTGGTAGAAACATAATTCAGACATAGAACAACAGTAGTAGAAATGCAGCCAGAATGACATCTCAGACAAACCAATCTGAACATGTATTCCCTGTTTAAAACCCCCTACAGCTTCCTAATGGGGGGGAAATCTGAACTGCTTAGCTTAATTCACAAAATCTTGCCCTAAGGAGCAAACCTACCTCATCAGCCCAAAGTTCCCTCATTCTGATACCGCATTCCAGTCGGACGCCACTGGCACCGACACACACCCTGCTCTTGAAGCCTGTGCCTTCACACCTGCCATGCCCTCTGTCTGGGATATCCTGGACGCAGGACTCACCTCCCTGACTTTTCATCCTCCAGGATTCTAGTCCTGGAGTGGACACTTTGAACCACTATGCCATGAAGTTTGTCCAGAGCAGTCTGTTTCTGTTCAGCAGAGAACAGAAGATAGAAGTAGACATGAGATTAGAAATATAGTTTGAGTCCAGATTATTAACAAGCGGGAAACAAAGGCCATGATTTGTTAATAGACCATGCATAGCCAGCAGAGGTTCTTGAGCAGGGGAAAGCTTGTTTTCTTTAAATGTGTGAACTTTCACCAAGTCAATTCACTTTATCCTGGCATCCCTTATCTGTAAAATAACATACACTGAAATATATGAATGATCTCTCCTCATTATAAAACTTTAATAGTCCACGAGACAGTATATACCACCACCATCACCCACTATGGCTTTTGCCATGGCTGCTTCATAGATTCTGACTGCAGTTCTTCTGCCTGGTTTAAATTTATCTCTGTGATTTATTTCTACTCCCAGCTGGTGGATTAGAGACTGAACAACGCTCCCCTCCTTTCCCTCCCCACTAATCATCAACTCTAGTTACTATAGAAAATAAGTTATAGCCTTATATTAAGAAAGTCTTTTCCCCTAGAAATCTCTGTTTTTTTCTGGGGTTTCTTTTCTTTTTTTCTTTTCTTTTGCCTTCCTTCCTTCCTTCCTTCATTCATTCCTTTCTTTTTTTCTTTCCTTCTTTCTTTCTTTTTTGGTTATGAGAAGAGTTCACCTTCCCTTCAAATAAGACCAAAGAGGCATTGGCTACCTTCACCCCAACATGAAACATTCAGGTTAGATCTTTGCATGAAAACCTGATAACCACTCCTTATAAAAAAAACACTGATCTGCATTCAAGGAATTCATTTGGGTCTGGGCTGAACATTTATTGCCTTTTAAGTCCCAACTTGAAATGATTCTCTCATCTTCCTATGATTGAATTTTCTCTCCAGTTACTCATTTCCTTCAAAGATGTTTCAGAACATTTTCTTTTCTGTTCTCTTAAAAGTCTTTTGGTGTTTCCCAGAAAATCCCTCTTCCTCAACTTTGCCGTGTCACAAATGCATACATTCGACTTGTCCCTTCTCTTCATTGACTGGTGTTATTCCATCTCAGAGTAATGGCACTTCTAGGGCCTTTATCTTTGATTTATGCTGCAGGTAAATATTGTTCTTTAGTATTTGAATAAAAAAGGCAAACCTTCAACTTGAGATATGATTGCTATTATTGTATATATCTGAATCTAATTCAGTGGCATGAAACATAACTATGCATGATATGGCCTTGGAGAAGCCATAAAATCTTCTTGAGTATGGGTTCTTCATCTGTGAAACCATTCTATTCACAAAGGGATAATATAAGAATTAAGTAAGAAAAACTAGGTGAAGAATGCCACATCATGCTTAGTGAAAACTAGACATGCCTTGCAGTCTAGCTCCCTAGTAGACAAGCCCAATCCTAGCTATGGATATCATGGGCTGGCCACAGTTCCCTCAGCTAGAAGAATTCTACTTCTCTTTAGCTATTGTAATAACTGTTGGCTTTTTTAAATACTTCTTTATCATTTCATTATTTATCTGATCTTATTTATGGTGCTCTTCTATTTTTCCCTTTGACAGTTTTCCCAGTTTTCCATTTCTAATAAAATTCCAAATGATATAGCATGTAATATGTGGGTGTGCCACACACATTTAATTCTGTAATAGCTTTTAAATTCATTCAATGTTCTCCATTTTCACTGGTTTCCCTTAGTGCAAGCTGCTACCTTCTCATCCCTGGAATCTTGCAATAAACGCTTAACAGCTTCCACTTTCCCCACCTCCAATGTCTTATTATTCATACAGCAGTCCATGTAACCTTATAAAAATAAAAGTCCAGCCCTGGCTGGTGTGGCTCAGTGGATTGAGCACCAGCCTGAGAACCACAGGGTCACTGGTTCGATTCCTCGTGCAGGGCACATGCCTGGGTTTCAGGCCTGGTCCCCGGTAAGGGGGGCACACAAGATGCAACCACACATTGATGTTTCTCTCCCTCTCTTTCTCCTTCCTTTTCCTTCTCTAAAAGTAAATAAAGAAAACCTTTTTAAAAAATCAAGAATCCACTCATGACATGCAATGGCTGCTCTTTGGTGCTAGCTGGATGCTTTGCAAGGCTGTCAGAGCTCTTTGTGCTCAGGTCCTGCCTATCTGTGTGATGTCATCTGTTTCCCCATATCGCCCTTGATCTCTGAGCTCCAGACACATAAGCCTTCTTTTATTTCCTCTAATGGACTATGTGCCTTCTTTCAAGCCACACTTCGCATGTTATTTCCACTTTCTAGAAAAGCTCTCCAGTCCTCTGCCCAGACCCACCCAAGGCATCCATCATGTGACCACTTAAACATTATGCTCTAGAAGTAGCAGGCTCAGAGGTTCCTGACTCTACAATCTACCCGGGAAACAGTTATCGACATTTTAAGAATCAACTCAAAACTCACTTATTTTAAAGAGCTGAGCTTCCCCAAACCACTCCTAAAGAGCAGAGCAAGTGATCGTATCACTTTTGTTCTCCATCCCTGTGTGCGAGCCTGCCATCCTCTGTGAGGCCAAATCACCCATGGCATTTTTAAAACACGCAAAAAGCTGAGTTCCACTCTCTGAGATTCTGGTTGGGAACCCCGCCTTAGTATATATCAGGGTTGACTTTACTGCTCCCCCATCATTTTAACATGCAATCTGAGAAGAGAAACTCAGTCCCTTGCACTCTTCCACCCACTCTTTTTTTTAAAGAGAGGGTCTGGTGTCAGTGGTAGGTATAGGGCTAGCTCCTTTAACTAGGTTATAACACCAAAAGGACAGAAGTATATTACCTCAAAGCCTGGGACAAATTGTCACTGAAATAGAAAAAAAAATGCTTCTCAAAACTATATTACTTGGGGAACCAAAGGAGAAACATAGTCATTATTTTGACAACATCCATGTAAGTAATTTAAAACTTCATGTTTATGTTACCTCAGTTTGGATATACTAGGAGTACCAAACCTCATGAATACAAAGCATGACTCTCCAAAGTAACATCTTCCTAGGGAGGGAGAGGATTAGGAAGGGCCCACAGCCCCCTCCCCCGCATTTACTGTGCCTCCTGCGGGCCTTGCAGCGGCCCTTTCCAATCTCTGGTCTAATTCTCAAATGCCCCCAACTTGAGGACTCTAGTAAAAACAGCTTCAAATCTATAAGTTGTCTTAGAAAGAAGCCCCATTGTATATTTTGTTCTCTAATAAAGTTGCTTTTGGGGGGGGAAGTGTATTAAATTCACAAAATAACTTTTTTTTAATCTATACCTCATAGAGAATTCGTACTATGAAAACACTGTCTGTAGTCAAGAATTGTTTACTTGTGTAAATACTAGCAATGCGTAACATTTACCAAATGCTTTTGTCTCTCTACCTAGTTCTTTTCTCATGTTCAGTTTTCTCCCCTTGCCTCAGATTCATGGAGATTTTTGTTCCTACCTCTTCAGTGCCCCATCCTTATCCTACTGCAACATAGCCACTGCTTTCAGCTCTTCCCGATCAAAACAACTCTTTTCCCTTTGAACTTGGTAATTCTGTGTTTCTCAAAGTGTCAATCTACATCAAATCTAGCTGTGGTGCATGGGAAAATTAGAGATTCTCTTCCCCGGAGTCACTGCCACAGACTCTGTTTCTGGGATGGGCTGAGGAATTGGTGTTCTTACCTTTCAATGTGTTGATTCTGTGCTCACAGCCCTTACATTACTTGATGACAGTAATTTACACTAAAGCACATCTGCATTTCACAAGTTTATTTAAAAAATAAGATTGAAAAATTTTAAAGTGTATTAACTAAGCAGATCATCATTGTAGCGGTCCTCAATAGTGAATATGCATAAAAATCAACACAGAAACATTAAAATACAAAATTAGGCTGGACCGACGAGTCAGAGTTTGAGACATTCTGCTCTCGTGTGCTGCACTTTGCAAAAATGAGTCTTGCAGCATTAGCTTACTGCAGCAGAAGCAAAGGGGACAGCCAGGTCACACAGTGCTTCTCTATGCTACTGATGCAGCAGTCATGCATGTATTTAACTCCAGCGACCACTTATACCCACCCATATAGATGTTTGGTATATACTGTAATTATTACTTAAACAGCTTGAGTAATTGCTTCTGATTGTTTAGTTCATAATTTTTCACCAGATTTCTTTGTTTCTTCCGGGGGCGGTAGGGGTGAGGAAAGAACAAATAAATGAATGAATAAAAAAAACCTCTTACACTGCTCTGGCCAGGTGGCTCATTTAATTGCGGTGTCGTCCCATATACCCAAAGGTTGCAGGTTCAATCCCTGGTCGGGGCACATTCGGTGGGGGCAACCATTCATTCTCTCTCTCTCAAATCAATAAACATATCCTCAGATGAGGATTGGAAAAAAAAAACCCCAAAACAAAAACCTCTTACACTAAACAATAATCGACT